TGCAAAACCGAGGCCTCTGGCTACTAACATTACTTAAGCTGGTTATACGGACGAGGATGGAAAACGCGTCAAGGCTTACGCTGTTGTTCCTCCTATGACATACGGAAAAGGGCGCCCTCCGGGTAGCAAGTGTGTAGGATTCACTTTAGTTGTATAGGCGATCACCAATCGCATTCGTGAATTTAAATTTCTTCTTACCACATTTTAACTCTATTACGTGCCACCTCATAATATACCCTAAAAAGCGTAAGAAGTCCAGTTTGCGCTTATTCTATCTCTACATAGCTTCGTCTAAGAGAGCAAATGCAACACTTAACCAAAAGAGGCCATGCATAGACAAATAAGGGCGAACGCACCCATTTCTCTATCGGCGTGCCATCTTCGAACATGCTGAACACCGATTTGACTGTCTCTTTGCAACCTGTCATCTCCTCGTCTTTCCCGCAGTAAAAACAACTAAAACAAACCAAGCCTGAAAAGCAATACAGACGAAGGAAGTCTGCTAGTCATTTGTCTCTGAGCAATAAATTGTGCTAATGAAAAAAGAAGCATCGTCGTGCACCTTAGGCTATCTCAAATAAAGCAGGTCGACCTATTCATTTTATAGAACCAAATCATATAGAATGATCGCCTCAAAACACATTACGCAGCTCGGCATGCTTAAATAAATAACGAGAGAACCCATGAATCAAAACTTGTACCAACAAAAAAGTGCCAGTGACATTCAAAATACTAGAGCAACCCTAACGTTTTGCAAATATAACCAGGAAAAATAACAGTAATTTTTACAGGTAGAAGAACGAAAAACGCCGGAATTCTTAAAGCACGAGTAAGCAGTTCAAGTTTTGCGTACAAAAGCACTTGTCCAACGGCTCCACATTTGTAAAAAAAACCTATAGATATACACTAAAAACACAACTCACGTGAAAATACGAGTGATGTGCTGCAGATTTATACAAAGAAATAAACACAGCCCAAGCACGACGAATCCAATCGCACCCACGACATGACTAAGACCTTGGTCAAAATCATTTTGATTAATCAAACAAAGACATCCAACACTCTGCGACTGCTTATTGCATAGCATGAATTAAAACTTCAGACGAACCTGAACGCAAAACGTGGCATTGGGGAGATTTCTGGGCATCTATACCAGCAAGTGAAATTTATTTTCTTTATTGACCTGCCTACAAAAATAAACAGGTTCTAGTGTAGCGCCCCGAGACTCCCTGATGACGAAAGAGGACAAAATACTCGAGCAGAATATATATTCAGTGCAGAGAAGGTGTCTGGGCAATTGGCATGGCGCGAAGTCCAGCCAACCCAGCGAGGTACAAGAGGGCTTATTCAAAGTCTAAAAGTGGCGCCTCACCAACACCGAGGGATAAACCACTATTGTACTACAGCAATGCTTCTGGTCCTGTTTGGTAAGAAACTGGGTTATCTGCTGATGCTTCTCAGGATAATGCTGCTTTGACCACACATTGCGGAAATGCATTTTGATTCGTGTGTGTGTTCAGGGAACCAAATAGACAATCACTCACACTTGTCAAGTTACATTCACTTCCACCCTTCCTTGCTTCAGCAACAACGACAAGATGCTTGTTTCACTCCTTTGGTATCGATGATATAACCATGGCCTAAATTTGTTGATAAAGAAAAGCAGCTACACAAGCAACAACAACTACGAATTAAAGAGTGCATGGAAGTTATGTCAACGGTGATGAAGTGAGTGTCAAATCGAAATTGTGCAAATCTTTTGTAACAGAAACAGGCAACTAGCGATATTTCTCAAGTAATGGAGGGTCTTGACATCCGAGTTTTTACGCACTTGGACTCCTTTTGAACCATTCATTTCACTTATATTAACTAGTTCTAACACGATAACAATCGTGAAAAATCTGCTTTACGAAAAGGCAAGCATTTGCCTAAATCTAAGCATCTAGATGACCTTCCCCGTTACGGCGGCTCTACTAATACTAAAGCGAAACAGCAACTAGCAGTTTGATGGGATATAAATACTGCAGAGCTTCTCCCTTTGAAGGAGGTAATGTAGCTCCTTTCGGTCCACATCAGTCCCTCCTTCCACCATTCCAGGCGTCTTCAGTATTCGTCTTCTTTCACTTCAAGAAAAGTATTTGTCCGGAGATGATGCGGTTCTGTGGCACACCACAAAATCAGTGGTGTAAAGATGGTAAGTAGAAAAATGCTCTCGCACTTCCCCGTAGAGCGTCTGCTGGACGAGTCGAACCTATGTGCTATGACCATAAAGAAAACTACGCTGTTGTACACTGTTAGGCGACTTTCAGGGCAAGGTAATCTCAGAGAAAGTCTGTGGCACTTATCCCTACAATTATCGCACATGATATGCCTTAAGCATGGGTTAAGCCTACGCATTTGAAGCAAGGATTTGAAGTTGTCATCCAATGGATACGTGATGTGCTGATAGTTACATTCCGTAGTTTCGATGGAGTCAATTACTAGCAAGGAGGACGCATTTCATGCTTTTCGAGCTGCACCCACAATGAAAAGCCTTCATTTTCACTTCCTCCCTACTTCCTCCCTCTCCCTCACCATTGCCCCTCCTGATGCCTCTTCTGCTCCAGCTTCTGCCTCTGCGGTTACCTCGTCATCGAATGAGAAGGTGTAGATGGATGTTAAACTGCGCAAGAAGCGGGACGAAGAGGAGAGTAAGGGGTGAGACTGGAGTAGAGGCCTGGCTTGGGTGGGCCACGCTGGTGGTGGCGACAGTGACAGAACTATCCAATTCGGCATCGTTAGCAGAGGCCTTGACTCCGCTCTCCACTTCTACGTCAGCGTCGGCAGCGGCAATGACAGCAGCGGCAGAGGTGGATTTGATGGTAGAGAGAACATCCTGCCTGCCACAAGTGAGTATTCTTCTGTATGGAAGTGGATCAGAGGCATTGATGAGGAAAGAAATCCGTCGGATTGGAGATGACTGAGCGGATTTCCCTTTGACTGTCATGAAAAGTAGTGCCATTGCTGAAAGCAGTGCTCCCTCATCCCTTACGATCTGCTGTCACATGCCACACCTTCTCCATACTACTATGCAGGAAGTAGACGACAGGCCTCTGTTTCATCTTCGCAACCCACTTCAACGCTAACCGTGAAGTGGACAGGCTAGCATTACAGGCATCCAACACGTCCACTCAACATGAGGTGATATAACAATTCAAATGAAAGGAAAAAAGAAAGTGGTGCAAGGAAGGTACTTTGGAGGGCAAAGATGCCTCATCTAACTAAGAGTGGACCTCCTTCACGTAATTCGCGCATGCCTTCTACTAAACATCCACTTTTCCCCTTTATTCCTGGTTCGTTCTTTCCCATTTTTGACGAGCTCAGAGCGGATGCACAAAAGGTATTCGGTTGTGCACTAAAGGAACCTCACGAATCATTGTCTTTCTTCTCTAAACTTGCAGACGTCTTTCGAGTGCTCCATAGCCACTTACCAGTCACGTCTGAGGCACCACTTCTCTGGCTCGATTCGAATGGTTTCTTTCAGGTATTGTGTAGTATTTGGAATGGATTTGGGGAGTAAGGTAGGCGTTTTGCCCCTCTGTCTGTCTGCTCCGTGTGGTGGATCTACATCTTGATGTTTGAGTTCCGCATCTTACTGACTGGTTTCAATTCACCTCATGACAGGTGACCGACTAGCTGGAGAGTGGCATAGTGTGAGTGACAGACCGAATGCCTGTTTGACGTTAGGACGAGGAGTATAACTAATGCTCTAAAGTTTTATTGAGTAGTCTGTTGCTACTTTGTGATCCGTTAATGTTTGATTGGTTGTGTGAATTACATTTGGGCGTATAATTTGATGTCCTGAAGTTGTAGTGCCTTACAGCACGAAAACACTGGATGCTGGTCCCACTTGACTTCACACTTCACTGCAGCGCATCCACATTTGACAAAAGTGTGGGATTTTCCATTCCCCTGTGGTCTGAGCTTGTCTCCTTCACAGCCGCGTTAAAGCAGGCAACGAAGAGAAAAGAGAAGAGGTTTTTCATGTGGTTTTCTGTTTAGCATTTGGATAAAGTGCGAAATGTGACAGCAGATCGTGTTCGATGATGAATTACGTTGAGTCCATTCTGATTTGACTCAATAGTGGAGAGAATGGCTTTTGTGTGTCTTCCAACGTTAGATGGACGCACGCAGTGGTGGTTCGCTTTAACCGAGTCCCCATTACCTAAATCACACTACTGCCGCTCACACCTATCATCCAAAAAGACAGAAATCTTGTTTGTACGGGTGCCTGCATGTGGGTGTGTATGGCGGACTATGGATGATCTGGCATTGCCATGTTGCGAAAGATTAATACTAATAGCAATGGAAACACTGCTTCCCTTATCACTGTCAGACTGACCAGTCGGAGTTCATTCTCAAGATGATGGCATTGGTGGTGAGGGTGATATGGACGAAGAGGAGAAGGAAAGCAAAAGAGACGGCCGTTTAGATGAGAATAGCTGGCATTTGAAATGGTGGAAGTTATTATCTCACCTCGTCCTCCATGATTATCGAGCTGGTCTTTCTCCATCTGCTGATTACCACCTCTTCAGTGCCCACTACTATCAGCAAGATGCCTATTAAGTGGATTCGTGAAAGCGAATAGGCAGTTAAGGTAAAAGATGGAATTTAAATGGCCTTGAGGTGACTAAGTTGGAGTTCGGGTTGTTTGGGTGAAGGGACGAATTCTTTCATGAAAGCGAAATTTGCAGCTACATTTTGGTTCATCGATTAAAACTGTGTGACAGAAACCAATTCTACTGAAGGTGAAGTGGTGGATTGTATTGGGCGATTTCCCTTCCAATTTCAACTCTTACCACCATCACCCAAATATTCATCTCTATATTAGTCAGACTGAATGTCTGTCACCTCGCCTGCCTAATAATCCAATGACTCGGTTGTGATAATCTTCCATTCACCCAACTGTCCAGATGTCGCCTTATGCCACACCACACCCAGAAGTGACAAGATAGAGTGGAACAACAAGCAATCATATTTATTTAAAAGTATCCACCTATACAATCGATTGGGTAGGTAATCAACTAGTCGGATGGAACGGGTTTGAAACAGCAACAAAACAAACTCCTCAGACGTCTTCGCAAACGCTTGTGCCACTAAAATAGAAGCAATTGGTCATCAACAAGCTGATAGTGGAGAGGTGCGCAAAGATCATTTGCGAACATGCATGCAACCCACCGTGGACTGCGATTTGGATGGCGCCCGTTGCACTGGTGCCCCTTCGCCTCTATTCCACCTGTCCTTGTTGGCGGAGGACAACATCGATGTGGAATCTACGCCACCTGGAGACCTGTACCACGGATTGGTGACGGGAAAGAAGAAATGCCCCGTGATGATCTCCGCCTCACTGCTGCTGTGCAGTACCGTACCTGCTGTGCAAAACTCCTCAATATTCGCCTCTTCCTCCAACTCTCCATCACGTCTTGCTCTCTCAGCACCATCCTCTGTCGGTACTGCATCAGTCCTCGCTTCTCGTGGTCCATCTGCTCCACATTTTGACTTTGCTCCACCGGTTACTTCGCATTTGGATAAGAAAGGTTGAGTAAATGCTGAACCTTGCGAAGAGCAGATGAAACTGCAGGATGTGACGATAGCCATGTATGGAAGTGCAAATTGAGCGGTCGGAGCTGGGATTGATGATGTTGGTAGTGCTTGCCATTCGGGCACCGGTAGCAAAGGTGTTAGCGTCGTTGTCTTCGGCTTCGATGTCAGAGTCAGTGAAAGTTGTGG